GATGGGGGCCTTACGCCGATGGCCGAGGGCATGGTACCGCCGGAGGGTGTCGCGTCGTGCCGCCGAAGGGCACCAAGTGGCATCGCCGAGAGCCGCCGAGGGCCGCCGAGGACTTTTGACTGGATGGGTGGGTCTCAGATTTGGGAGCTTCTGGAGCAGCCGCCACCTTGGTTACAATTGGGGGCCTCTCAAGAGGGAAGTGAGGAACCCAAGCTCTGACCAAGGAGTTCCAACTTGGCCGAGGGAACTTTGGACGGGAGATACGTCCTCCCACTCGGATAGTGAATCGGGAGGGACTCACTTGATGTGTTCTTCCCATTTTGGTAGGTGTTTTTTGTTTGGTGAAGGGGAGGGTTTCTTACTTGATTGTTCATCCCTCTCAACGAGAGCACCAAATGATGGATGGTCTACCCGGGGGGTATCTTATCCGAGGGGTTATTGCGGGAATAACTTAGAGAGAAGCCAGAGTAAATAGGAGGAGAGAGAGTCAATTTTATTAAATGAACTCGAGATATGGAGTTGGGATGTAGATGATGATTTACAAGGAGAAATGGGCTGCTATTTATAGCAGCAATAAATGCGATGAGAGTACACGTGTCAGTGATCCAACGGCCGAGGGGTCACATCAATCGGGGTGGCACCGACCATCGCACGTTCCCCACATTAAATGCGGTGGGTGGATGTGACGTCGCATTAAATGCGGTGGTTGGCTGTCTCCAAAGGGAATCTTCGATGATTGAGTCCGTTTAGCCGAAGGCTCCTCGCGTAGCCGAGGGCTTTGTGTGGACGAAGGCACTGTGTGGCCGAAGGCTTCATGTATGGCCGAGGGCTTCATGTATGGCTGAGGGCTTCATGTATGGCCGAGGGCTTCATGTATGGCCGAAGGCTTCATGTATGGCCGAAGGCTTCATGTATGGCCGAAGGTTTCCTGTGTAGCCGAAGGCTTGGTTCAGCCGAGGGCTTCCCCTGGCGCCGAGGGCTCCACAGTGCCGAAGGCTGCTGTTTTCTGTCATTTTCTCCCAGTAGCTTCACATGGTCGAATATGGCGGTTCTGTGAGTTTTTGAGCCTTCGGCCAAGGAGGCCGAAGGCATCCCTGTGTGTACTGTGGGCTTCTTGACGCTTGGGCCGCCGAATCTTGGGCCTCCTGAGCTCCTTGGGCTTGTTGGGCTTGTGATAGATTAGTAGGAGTTTGTGGGCCGGGGGTTCCCGGGCCATATACTCTATCAACCGAAATATCCGAAACCCGACCCGATATCCGAAAATATCCGACTTAAAAATATCCGAAATACCCGATTTGAAATATCAAAGGGTCGGGCCTAGTATTTAAATTAAAAAAACCCGAACGGGTTTAGGGTTCACAAACCCGACCCGTGCACACCCCTACATATAAAAAGAACGAACCTTGTGCATATATCACAAATATTGTTAAACTCTTCAACAGTATATGCTTCACTTCTTGGAGACTAATCCTGAAATAGTTAAAAACATAAAAAATGAATAGTTTGTAAAGTACAATGCATATAAAAATAGTCAAAGTTAAAAACATTGTTATACCTTCCCGATGTCGATGCTACCACGATTGTCTGATGAGTTCGGGGTAAGTTCTTCTAATTCTAATTACAATGAGCAAAATTCCTCTTTACAGAAAGAGAGGAATAAAAGAAAGGAACTTGAAGAGAGACTTGCTAATGATCAGAAGTGTTTGGAAGCACGTTTAGAAAAGAAAGGAATCCTTAATCTACGCTTAAAAAATTCACAAGACAAAGTCACTAACATAGAATCTGAAGTAGCTAAACTTAAGAGTTGTATAACAGATTTAAAAATCAATATTAGCTGTTGTGAAAAGTCTTTTTTGTACTAGTAATTTATTTAATTAATATTAGGGCCTATTTGTGTGATTTGCATCAGTCACCCAATCTATTGAATCAGACTTGTCTATGGCCGACATATGTGCACAAAACATATAACTCTTTGCGTACACGAAACACTTTTGTATATATAAACACAACCTGCGAGTGTGGTTTAAATGGTCCACTTCAAATGGATTTAATTTAAGCAGCACTTATGTAATTATATCTTCTGAAGGAATTTATGGCTAGTTTAAGTGGTCATGCATTAATAATTGTCTCACCTCAAGGCTCAAGCACTATTATAGGAGTTAAGTTTTTGCAACTCACAATGACTGACTTCTTGTGCAAAATTATGTATATGACAAAGGAAATGTAGCCAAGTATTTTAACAATTCGAGTTTACATCTTGGGAATGCTAAAAGTACAAACAAACTTACAAAAAAACTTACAAACAAGTTATGTGGCTATTATAATTACCTTTGATGTAAAAGTGTTGTAAATGTGATGTGATGTGTTAAATAATGAGATGATACCACATACCCTTTTTGTAAGAGTTTTTGTAAAAGTTTTTGTACTTCTAGCATAACTCATCCAAGTTTGGTCTCGTGAAATCAAGATTGATAATGAAAAATAATTATTGACGGGAGGGGTCGACACTCAAATGTAAACCCACATACATTTGAAATTACTCACGGCCGCCATCAAAGTTTTACGACAATGAGTTTTGTTCACCCCCTTGAAATAGGGTGATTTCACCCCTCCTCTCTTTACCTGTCACATGACATGATGTTTTCAATATCTTATGAGAAATGATGTTTGTATATAACTATATAAGGTCTTTGTACACTATATATAAGGTCGATCAACATAAAATCCTTTTTCTCCTCAACTCCCTTCTCTCTTCTCTTTCTCTACTCATTCTTACTCGGATATCTAATCAAAGATAGGATCTTCCCCCTCCTCCTCTCCCTCTCCCTCCTCCTTACTCTTTTTATTTCAAATCTTTTTCATTACTTGCACAAAATCATCTTTATTTATCTTTTTTCGTCTTTATATTGTTTATCAATTTTTTAAAAAAATTAAGCGCATATTGGTCACACATACTATCACACAATTCTTTTACGCGCAGATAGATAATTGCAATTTTTATTCATCCAGTCAATTAAAATTGCTCACATAGACAAATAAAATTGGCCACACAAGCATCTATTTTCTGTGAGCAGCACAACTATTGCATATGCGATAAAATATATGTAAGCACATAAGACTAAAACAGATCATATGGACGAATACAATCTATGAGACACATAATTATTGCTTGTGCACGCAGACACTGCACACACAAGGATCGGTTTATATACATCAATAGCTTGTTGACCGTAAGGCATCTATTAGGCCACTATCATTGTACCTTTGACATGAAATTTAACACTTATGAGCACATGTAAGAGTTGTTTGTGCACAACCAACCCTTGTGTGCGCATAGGCAAGTCAGTATGCCAGTGCACCAATTATTTGTGTGAGATAAACGTGCACAAAAGGCGCAAGCCTTTATGTATATGAAGCAACTTTGTTTTTCTTTTTTATATTTTTGCTCTAACAATTAAACAAATATTTCCTTTCTCCCTTTGTGATTTTAAATTTGACCAAAAATAATCTCTTGGGTCATTTTGAGTTAGGGAGTAATTTATCATTTTATCCCTTTTCGCATATATTCGTATTCTTGAACTTCTTATATATTGTTGTTGAAATTGACTTCAAAGTCTACAATAATCCCTACTTTATTATGCGTTTAAAAAAAATCTCTACTAGAAAAGTTCACAATAATAATCTTAACAAGTGTTTCACAAATATAAACTAGGTGCTAATAATGTTTTTCAGGAAGAAAGTGGCTTATATTCTCAAGCAGTTCTAGAACCAGACTTAGACTTAGGCTCTGTTTGCAAACACAACTGGGAAATGATTTTAACTTTTTAAAGTGATTTGGAAAAAAAGTGATTAATAGTAAAAGTTGGTAATGTTTGAGAAAAAAGTGATTTAGAATTTAGAAAAGTAAAAGTTGGTGGTGTTTGGTAAAAATAAATATTTTTTGTGCAATAGAAAAAGTAAAAGTATTATAGTTTTTAGCTTTTAAGTGATTAATTTAAGTATAAATTATTTGAAAACATCTTTTTTAGCTTTTTTGAGTATTTGCAAACAGCGCCTTAGAGCTACATGATAAAAAATCCCTCATCGTCAACCCTACTCCGATCCAGGAATTACTTGAAGCAGTTGTCGGATTCTAGAGCGCCGTGTTTGAATTTAGGCACCAATTTTCAATTTGGGTGTTTTATCTTGAGTTGAGCCTGATTTGAAACAGATTAAGACGGGCCAAATTTATGTGGTACTCACGCATTTGACCCAATTGTTTATTTCTGATGCCCAAAGATCAGAGTTCTTTTGGGCGAATAGGCTTATATAGGCTCAGAAATTGTGAAGATGTCTTGGGTCTTGTTCTGACCCAGTTATCTTCTTTATCAGATTTTATGGTCCATTTTTTTTTTTTTTTTTTTTTTGCATTCTTCGTTTATTGCACCGGATTTGTTTCCGGATTTTCTTTGTCATGAGGAAGTGTGGTTCATGCAGATGTTCAATTTGTACATCAGTTTTTTGTATCTATAAAGGGTCGTGTTTTCTATTAAAAATGTAGCATAGTGAAGTAAATAAATGCCAGGCCTAAGTCAGGTCAACATATTGACTAATTTATCAAAAAATGAATAATGCCATCAATACTCATTCACCTGAAGCAACGTTCAAAGATTTTGCATTTAATAAATCCATGGGTCATCACCTCTTCTTGGAACAATAAATAGTGGAAATAATTTCTCTACTACAAAATGACTGTTCTATATACAGATCAAATGATTTACACTGAAAAATAAAAACATTGTCATTTCCTTTTGTTCTATATAAATGTATATATGATACAGTCAACATGTTTCTTCAATTGATTGTATGGAATGTCACATGTTAAACAAATGCAAATAGAATAAATAAATAAAATTAAAAGTTCTTGTGTTGTATGTATGTATTTACAGCCGTTCTAGATATGGCAAATTAATGAAGAATGAAAGTAACCCCAGCCTCCCTACCCAGTTTTTACACTTTTACCCGCCTTTCCTTTGATAAAAAAAAACTTCGCACACACAAAACATTAGGCTTCAGAACATTTTCTGGGCGCAAAACCAAGCCTGGACTTTTTAGTGTCATACAATATTTGGAAGTTCTGCTGCTGATAATTCCCAATTATAGATAGACCGGACTTTGGAGTCCCAAGAATAGCCAAACAAACAATCTCCTCCGGTTCGATCCTAATGAAGTAATTCTCGACCGGGAAATTCCATACTGCCCCATCACGGAACACGACCCCAAACGAAGGCAAATCAAGTTCCTTGACCCCGGACACATTGTAACAAGGTTCCAATATAGGAAAATCGTGTACAACTGGATACCTTTTTCCCGCCTTTTCAACGAACGCATTCTTGATGATATCGTAAGCCGGGGCAGCAAAGTAACTCAAAGTGGTCCCCGAATCAATGATGGTCCCACCCGCACCCTCGGGTGAAAACCCCCACATCTCCTCTGGGATCCCAACCACTTCCCCGCCAACAAGAACCGATTTAACCTCTACGTAATAGAACGTCTCGGCCGGGTTTTCTTTCCCACTATTATTATTACTAACCAATGAAGTGAAGTTCAGTTGTGGGTGACTCAATAGAGACTTATCCTCCCCAAATATTAACTTGCTACTAATGCTGGAATTGCTATTCCTATCAACCAAACAATAGGAGAATGAGTCTCCATAGAAGGATTGGAGTTGAGAGGCAAAGGACAATGGGCCACGCCCTAACCCTAGCAATCCGGCAGCCCCATGGAATAGTCCCCTATTCCAATGCCCGCAACCAAACATGACATTTTCCACCTTTCTGAACTCGGGCTTGCCAGCCTGAGTCGTAAGGTTAACTGTGAACGTCTCAAGGGAGAAATCGCCTGTCGTGTTGGAACTGTCCCCATACCAATAGTAGTAAGGGCATGTTTGGGAGTCGGATTTACAAGGAATTGGAGGATCAGGTGAGGAAACAAGGTGGCACCTAGGGTCATTGCAGCTTATGTTTCTGAATGAAATTGAGTCTTTAGGGTCATAGTAAGGTCCTTTCTGTTCAAAACAATCCAAGCAAGGGACACATTGGATCCAATTAAGGTCACTACCGGTGTCAAGAATGAGAGAGAAGTGTTTAGGAGGTGTACCCACAAAGACGTCCATGAAGTACTCCCCTGAGCCTAGGCTCACCCCTGACCCTATGGTCGCCATCAACTGACCGGAAAATGAAGATCCCGACGAAACTACCGGATCTCCGGCGGGGTTTGGGTTCTTGAGCCTTGAGAGGGTGTTTTGATTCTTCTTCTCGGTTATCCTTGTATGCAGTGTCTGGATTCTGGACAAATCCCGTGTGGTTGACTCAAAGACTGAATCTTTTTTACCCTTTGGTTCCTGGCCGTCCGATCTGTGCTTGAGATTGAACTTGACCGGTTCTAAACCGCCACCTCCGTTCGAGCCACGCTCAAGAGAGTGAAGAGAATGGTGGGCGGTTGACTTTCTTCTCTGCACAAAGCTGCAATCGGAGTTCGATGCTGATGAAGACGCGGCATAGAAGCTTGGATGTTTAGGCATTTCAATCCCGGATGAGGATGAATTCGAGTTAAGACTCATAAAGCTGTGGATTACTCCACCGGAGACGAGTACCCCAGAAGAAATCAAGAAGAGAACCATTAAAACGAAGCAAATGTTCCATCTTTTCACCATGATGATGATAACTAAAAAACTCAGCTCTCTTAGAAATGTGAAAAGGGGATTTTATTTTGTAGGATTTCAGAGAGAAACGTGAAGGGATGTTTTAAGTTAAGGAAATGGCAATGGGGGTTTGAGAATTTGAGTTGAGATTTCTTTGTAGAATTTTATGAAGTTTGAACAAAGACTTTGAATCGCATTCTCGTGTGGTCAGTTTAATACTACGCGCTTTCTCTTCTCTGGACTGTTTTAGTAATTTCCTAGCACGGACAAACACAATGCCTCCACATATTAATTATAGTAATTTTTACTTTGGGGAAAATTACTTTTATACACGTCACTTTATTTGTGTACAAATAATTTGATCGGCGTTTTATTAGGAAAACCGATTTTCACACAGACAAAAATAAAAAATATATTTGTATCTCAGACATTTTAAAATTCTAGTTTAAAATTGTCTGTATCACATATATGAAAAATTCTCGTCTAAAATGTATGTGATACAGACAATTTTTTTATTTATGTTTGTGTGGAAATCGATTTTCTTCATAAAACGCAAGTCAAATTATCTGTACGGCGTGTACACGAACAAGGACTCTTTACTTGATTGGTTTGATACAAAATCATATTACGTATCAGATTAAACCTGACTTAAACAATTACAAAATACATAGTCACACTTTTATTAGACCAACTAGACTAGATCAATTCTAACCATACCAAATAAAACTAGCAAATTTCAGTTTAATTAAAATCATTCTTCCTAATATCCTCGGGCGGTTTGTATACGTTTTCCTTCACTTTTTATACACTTCATAATTTTCCAAAATGTGGAATATGTACCCATGTGTGCCGAGACAAATATGCGAAATATGTATGAAATATTATGCACTAAATATTATTCACTTTTTCCGATTCCTCATATTGCACTGATTTTATTTACAAAGCTCACAACAACTCATATCTTACCTTCAAGGGATGTTGACTGTTGAGAATTGTTCGAACAATTCTTCATATTCCACTTTCCTACTTCGTTTGTATATTAGCGCATGAGAAGTCATTCTCATTTGACTCGGCAAATTCATATTCCTCAAACATAAAGGACGGAAATATAGAGTTGTTTACCACAATAACAGCGAAACATGGGGGTAAAATCCACCCATGTAGTTCCATGAGTTAAAAATTGACGTTTTTTGAAAATAATTAACTTAGTAGTTATTGATAATTATTAAAAACAAAAACAAACATATAGTTTAAGCCTACAATGTGATGACATGTAGAAACAGGTGATCCAAATGAATGGCTAACTTCAGGATATGAGCTCTACTTACAAATTAAAAGTAATTATCGAAAGAATTGACCCGGAGGTGATTCTGACAAGTGATTGGATTAAGACAATGTTTGGTTCATGGTGATGAGAAGTGATCAGGTCCGCCGGAGGGACGGGAGGCGCCGTCCGAACTCCGCCGTTTGGGACGGTTCCCGGTGGAATTTTTTGATGAAATTTTTGGAGCATGTTCCACATCAAGTCTAGTTTGCCCATACTAAATTTCAACTCAAAATTCGATCGGGAAGGCATTCAATTCATTTTTTGAAGTTGATTGCGCCAAATATACATATGAAAACGCAGTCAACTTCAAAAACTGATTTCAATGCCTTCCCGATCGCATTTTGAGCTGAAATTTGGTATGGACAAACTAGATTTGATGAAAAACATGTTAAAAAATGTCATCAAAAAATTCCACCGGGAACCGCCCCAAACGGCGGAGTTCGGACGGCGGCTAGACAGGAGAGGGCTGGACCTGATCTTTTCCGTCATGGTGATATCTTATAGAGGGCGGAATCTCATGCCCGGAATGTGAGATACCTGTGTTTGATTTATGGGTTTCATTTTTGTTGTTGTGAATGTTACATTCCCAAAAGTGAAAAAGGTAATCACATTACCAATTTACCAGGCATGTCAAACCCACCAATGCCTTAGGTTTTGTAAGATTCCTGGTGGCTTATTAATTTTCTTCCCAAAAAACCTATGCTTCATTAATCGACATATCTAGGGGTGGACCCGGCCCGGTCCTGTTCCGGTTTCGGGTTGGGCCCGGCCGGGCTTGGCTTTTTGGGAATGTAGCCCGGGACCGGCCCGGCTGTTGATCGGCACCAGTTCGGGCCGATCTACCCGCCCGGGTAGCGGGTTACCGGGTACGGTTTTTTAATTCATGTTTAAAAATTAATTCAAAAAGTGCTACATATAAAAAACTTAAAGTATATTTATTTGAAACATGAACTACAATTGAGAATTTAGAAAGAAAAAAAAAATATGAAATTAAATACATTTTCTAATAAATACGTAGTAATAATCAATCGGAATCTCTGGCACTGTCGGTTGTTGTTTCCTACATAAAGTGTTGGGTGAGGGTGATGCTAAGTTCTTGAGTTCTATGTTGGGCCTTCAATCGAACATACCCTAAGGGCCCGTTTGGTACGGTGTAAAGTAAACACTTTGCATGCAAAGTGTGAGGATGTAATCATTTTACACCGTTTGTTTTAAATATTTAATGTAAACTGTAGGGCACTTTTTTTAAAACATTTTACACTGTACCGTGTAAAGTATTTTACGTGGGGGAAGGGTAGTAAACTATTTTACACCCGTTATTAAGGATTATAAAATACGGAGAATCTTTTTACGACTACAACCTAGGCTTTAGAAACTGGTTCGACAGTAAAGCAAAAAATCATGGCGGCAGCAAAGGAAAAATTCTTGGCTGCAAAAAACTAATTTTTTCTCCAATCAAATCGTCAATCATCATCACATCTCTTCTCCATCTGCGTTGGTCTCCTTATTCGATACGAGTAATATATATTACTCCGTATATATGTACGTATATATAATATATATACTCCGGTATATATTATTTATATGGTTCTGCCTTCTACACCTTGTTTTCATCCATTCAAATGTGTAAACACCCCCCTGTATTGTTTGGTTTCTTCTGGCTGCTTGCTGTTGGTATGATTGACGATAAGAGCACTGATTTAGTAGGTCAATAGACGATCTAGTGATTTTTTACATATTTTGCATGTAAAGTTATTTTTCAATCAAAGAATGTAACGAGTTTGCGTGTAATTTAAAAATAGATTGCACACGTAACCAAACAATGTATTTTTATTTTACATGCAAACTATTTTACCGTCCTAAACTTTACATGCAATCATTTTGCATGTAAAGTTTTAAAGTGTAAACTACCAAACGAGCTCTAAGGGTTAACCTCGATGGCTGGACTCATAGGGTCAGCACGATTGGCCGATCAACGATAGATAGACACGATCAATATTGACTAAAAATAAAAACATAAAATATGTATAATCATATACGTAATACTACTTATCAAATTAAATTTGTTTAAAGGGAAAATTATTTTGAATCATAATTTATTATTGAGAATACATTATAAACAGAGAAAATAAAATTGTTGTACTACCAAATATATATACGGAGTACGATTTTTAGAAAAAATTAAAATGTATTGAAATTGGATAGATAATCAATATGGATATAACATTTATTAAGAATTTTCAAATATTATATTCATACTTTTTAGTTATAATAATATAAATAATGTGTTACTTCCTCCATCCCACTGGATTTTGTCAACTTTTATTTTTTATTTGACTTAAGAAAATTTGTCACTTTCATTTTAAAACGACGATTGTGACTTCGCTCATTTCTCTATTCTCTATATACAAATTTCAATTACACCATTTTTATTATTTTAATTTCACACCCAACATCAATTTGGCAAAGTTGATTGAGACAAAATTAGTATAATTTTTATTGCGATTATTAATTGGGGAGCAACCAAGCATTAACTAACAACACTACTTTATCTCAAACATATTATCAAGAGAAGGTACAAAATTTGGGCAAGAACAAAAGACAAATACTTGTGGACACGAAAGATGAGCAATGACGTTAATAGACAATAACAATAAATTGCTCAGATAACATAAGAGCTCCCATATATCAACTGCATGTCCAGTGCTCCCGATATGAACAAACATCTGCGGATCATAATAAATAAACAACGGGAGCTTAACAATGCCGGCGGTGGCAATTCTATTGAACTCCGTAGGTGGAAGGAGAGTAATCGCCGAGGACACCACTACATAGAGGAGGAAGAGGCCGGAGTAATCAAATCTTCTATCTTCAATTCCAGAACTCAATATTTGAGCGACTAATTGGGATGGAAGGGGACGAACCCTACGATTCCATCTGCCCAGGCCATCGAGCTGCTCTTCTTCTTCTGACAAAGTGGGTGAGACTTGTGGCCTGCCGGTTTTGTCCAGAACTCAGTTCTGCTCTGGCCGAGGATTGTTCGTCCGACTGAATTTAGTCTCGCTTCTTTTCTTCTCTGTCTTGTATTCGGCAATCATTTTGTTGACCGTTAATGGAGAGCTTAAATCAGGCTTATGAAAGGAGGTCATCCGAGGAGGTTGACAAAAAAAAATCAATTTTACAACTGAATTTGGGATACGGTGAATATATCAAGTATGATACGATACAAGTAATAATATACTCGAATTAGTAAAAAAAACATCACTTAATATAAGTTTAAACCTAAAAACCACAGATGCACGAACAATTACTATGATTTTTGTCTCAATATTTTTCGTGATGTAAAATCTTGTCATTGAAATGTACCTCGTGTTGCTGCAAAATGTAATCTCTGTTAGCGGAAAGCTTAACTCATGCACTAGAATGTAATTTACTTTAATTTACTCCCTCCAATACGTAGTTATTCTCTCGCTTGTCATATATATGAAATGTACGTAAATCGCGTGTCTGTAAAATATAACTTCATGCAAGTTGAGATGTAAATCGCATGTCATTAACTGAAATGTAACTTATAGATATGGGTCAAAATGTAAAACGCGTTAACTTGAATGTAACTTGAGGAAAATAAAAAATATAAATTACGTTAATTGAAATATAACTTGAAGTAAGTCAAAATGTAAGTTGCATTAACGGAAATATATCTTGTCAAAATATAAACCATGTTAATGGAAATCAACATTGGTGAATTAATTAATTGAAAAATATTGAATAAAATAACTAAAAGAGAGAATTACCAATATGGGAGTAAAACATAGAGAGTGTGCCAAAATAGGAGTCCTATGGCTCACTTAAGT